ATTCATCCCTCAGTGGGGGGAAGAGAGTGTGGTTGGGTGCCATGAGGGAATGGAAGCACTTGAATCCTGTGGAGGCTGAGAAAGAACTGGTAAAATCCAGGCACACACAGGCAGGGGATGCAGGTAGAGGAAGTGTATTCTATCACCACGTGCAGCACTGGGAGAACAGTTCTGTGTGGGAGGAGCACCAGTTCTTACCAGTGCTGCTCCTCTGGCAGGACAGAGTGTCTCAGGCAAGGGGGACAAACCCCAGAAGAACAATAATGTCAGTGCCTGTTGAGCTTTTGTGAGGTCTAGTGATGAGTTTGCAATGATACAACCATAATAGTGATGCAGTAGTAATGACATAATATACAGTAGCAATAACAGTAGTGTCAGTGTGCTCAGAATGGTGTGTAAGTCCCTCTGCATTGACAGAACCTCTTGTTCTGCCCACAAGACAATCCAAACAGACCAGAGAAGTCTGGAGCTGTCTGTGAGCACACTCATGTTGCCCTGGGTAATGTCTCCTCTGTACCTCTGTCCCAGGAAAGCCTTCCTGCCACGAGAGCCCATGAGGTGAAGGTGCAAGTGAGAGCCTGTGCACTGAGCTGCGTTGATCTCGAGGTACCTGCTTGGCTCTGGGTGGGAGCTGGAGGTGTTTGTGGTTCCCAGAGCCTCTCTGGGCACTGGCACAGCTCCATCCTTGTGGACTGATGTGGTGGTTTTGCCTTCTCTAAATAAAATGCTCCTGTAATTTGGCTCCTAATTTACGGAGACAAATCGCTTGTCATGTGGTATTTCCCTTGCAGTAAATCCCCTTTATCTTCCTTTATGCTCTAGGTCAGTTTGGCTCATCTGGTAATAACTTTGGGTTTATTTTGGTTTATATATTTCTAAATTTAGGTACAGAAAATCAGTGCCAAAGTTTAATATCAGCTGAGGAACAAGTGCACTTTTTTCCCTGGGTAACATTCTGGAAATGGCCCAGAATGGATCTCAGAATGCTTTGGGCTGGAAGGGACCTGTAAAGGCCATCTAGCCCAGCCCCTCTGCCTCGGGCAGAGACATCTTCAGCTGGATCGGTGGCCCAGAGCCCCATCCAGCCTGGCCTTGGACCTTTCCAGGGATGGGGCAGCCACCACCTCTCAGGGAAACCTGTGCCAGTGCCTCAGCACCTCTGTTGTGCTGCTGGGCTGGCCCTCAGCTCCTTGCTGGGAGAGTCCAGCTCTGAGATGGCAATAGATCTGCACATTTAGCTCCTTACTGAGGATGTTGTAACTCTGGTTTGCATTTAGCTTCTGTCAGAAATCAAACTGGAGAAGGAGCTTGTACCTGTTGGGAGAGAAATTTCTGGGGTTGTGCTGGAAGGTGAGTCAGGACGGTTGTCTTGGGAGGGAATGGAGCAGGAATTGTGGTCTGGGCACCCAAAGACCTCTGAAACCATCCAGTCCAAGCTGTGACCCATCCCACCCTGTCAGCCAGCCCAGAGCACCACGTGCCACCTCCAGGGGTGGTGACTCCACCACCTCCCTGGGCAGCACATCCCAGTGCCTGGCAGCCCTTCCCATGGGGAAATTCCTCCTGATGGCCAACCAGTGATTAAATAGGGTTAAAAAGGAACTGAGCTGTGATTGCTGCTTGTCTGCTCAGAGGTGAACACAACTGCACAGCAGCTTTGTCAGTGAGGTGTGCAGAGCTGCTAAGCTTTGGCCTCCACCTGTGATGTGGAGTTCAATCCTGTTCACCCGTGTGCACTTCCATGGACGTGTTTGTGGAGGAGGTGTCAAGATTTAGGGCATTAAACACTTGGGTTTGCTGTGTGCATGATCAATAGAACATTTTCTTTTCACTAGCAGTGTATGTTTTGAGTTTACCTCCAGGTGCATATTCCATGTGAGCTATTAACATTGATCTTCTGTCCTTCTTCCCTCCTTTTCACCTTTCCTTGGTCAGTTGGCAGCAAGGTGACCTTCTTCCAGCCAGATGATGAAGTGGTGGGTAAGTCAATGCCTGTTTGCCTCATCAGTGACACAATTAGTGACCTTCTAGCAGTGAATGACTGAGGTTGTGATCCTTGTCAAAGCTACAAGTGAGACTGATTTCCCAAGATGCAATGAATGAACTCCTGTCAATGAGAGTTCAGACTGCTTTAAGTGCTGAAGCTGATTTGGTTTGAGATCAGGAAATTTGTCTCAGTATTTGGAATCTGATGTTGGATTGACTACCAAGATGTCAGTGGTGCTTTAGGAGAGGAGAGATGTTCCTCAGGGGCATTCCCTCACATGTGTTTATACTTTGCCTGCCGAATGGAAGGGGTAGAGGATGATCTGAGCTCTGAAAGCAGGACAGAGTTGACGGTGATGTAGCAGTGTGTGTCTGGGGATGTGGCTCTGCCTCCACCATTTCCTCACTGCTGCTCTAAGCAGTTCCTTTGCACTTGTTATTCCATGGAGAAACCCTGGAGAGAGCTGCAGGTGTGCACAGGGTGACCATGTTAGTGGGAATTGGGAAAGACTGGAAGGAGCAGCCAAATTTGCTGAGGATTTTAAGGCAAAATCTTTGCTTTGGTTTAAATGGGTGCAAGATTTGGATGGGAGAGGGAAGAAAGCAGTGGTTTTCCTTGGGCTGGAGGAGACATTCATTCCTTCAGGAGATTGATTGGGTGCCAGAACCTCCTGCTCAGGGATCTCCTGAGTCCAGTGGAAGCTTCCTGCTCAGGAATCTCCTTCTGTGGCCAATGGAAACCTCCTGCTCAGGAATCTCCTGAGTCCAATGGAGTTAAAAATCTCTGTTATGACCAGGCTGGAGTTCCTTCTCCTCCTGCCCACTCCATGTTTGCTCTTTCTGGCTTCCATGGGCAGCTCATCTTCCTTCAGTTCCTCTTCCCTATTCCAACTTTTTAACTTACACTTGTTCTTCCTTTGCTTCTTTTGTGCCTTTTTGCTGAGCACACACTGCAGGACTCTGGCTGAGAGAGGAGAGGGGTCTGTGGTGTGTCTGGTCTGTGCCTCAGTTTCCTTCCTCTCCTGCCATGGCCTGGAGTGGAACCAGTGTGACATGAGTCACAGAGTGACACCCCCTGACAAACTCAGCCTGTCAGGGGCAAAAAACACTCTGTGTTGTTCCCATTCTTTCTCTCCCCAACCCCAAACTGCTGCTGGAAGCTCCTCTGGATCTGCCCTTGTGCTCTGTGCCCAAGGGCTCTGCAGGCTGGTGCTCAGGCAAGGCCTCTGACCTGTCCTGATCCTGCCAGGGGTGGAACAGCCCAGGCCACGTGGGAGCAGCTGGTCTTTGGGAGCTTGATCTGCTTGTGTGAAATTAAAGGTCTGTGCTCCATGTCTTTTGCAGGAATTTTGCCCCTGGATTCTGGGGAGTCTGGTCTCTGTGAAGTTGTCCTAGTCCATGAGCATTATTTGGGTAAGCAGTTCAGGTATTCTTCTACTATTTATATCTACTGTGGCTGCTCCATCCCTGGGAGTGTTCCAGGCCAGGCTGGATGGGGCTTGGAGCAGCCTGGGCTGGCCGGAGGTGTTCCTGCCCAGGGCAGGGGGTGGGATGGGATGAGCTTTAAGGTTCTTCAAACCAGACCATTCTGGGATTCTAAATTAGTGTGTATTGTGCTTCTGGGAGTGTCCATGAATTCCATCTGTGTCGTTATGAAGTGACTCCTTTAAATTTGGTTATGCCAGAACTGAATCCCAACTTCTCTTGGGTGAAATACTGGTTTTAACATGAGAGGAAAACAAGTGTTGTTGACCTGTCTGAATGTGGAACATTCTGCCTAGCTATAGCACATTTTGCAGTGCAAGCCCCAGGGAACTCCTGGGGTTGGTTGTTCCATCTGACTGGTTTGTTTGTTTGTTTTTCCCCAAATCCAGTCCACAAGCCAGAGAAGGTGTGTTGGGCTGAAGCAGCAGGGACTGTCCGCGACGGTGTCCGAGCCTACACAGCCCTGCACTACCTGTCCCAGGTGTCTCCTGGGAAAACTGTCCTTGTCATGGATGGAGCGAGTGTAGGTAACAACTCTGCACTATTCATCCCAGAGAAACTCCCTCTGGCTTAGTTCAGTGCGTTCGTGGGAAAGGTTCTCCCAGGTGAGATCCAGGGCAGGAACAGTGTGTGAGGAGCAGAGAGAGAGAGAGGTGTCCGGGTTTGGCCATGGCCACAGTCCCACCCTGAGCCCTCAGGTGTGATTGGAGCAAAATGCCTTGGGTTTATTCCTTTGCCACTGCTTTTTAACCTGGATTTGCACCCTGCGCTCTGGATGCTGATGGAGACATGGAGCTTCCTCAGCCAAGACACCTTCATGTAGCCATGGCTGGGGCTTCTCCTTGGGGCATTTCTCCCTCCAGCAAGCCCAAAACTCTGAGTTCCAACTGCACTGAGGGCAGTCATGGTAATCAAAGTCAGATCTGGGCCCTTTTGTTGACGAGAACTGGGTAGTGTGTAAAAGTTAGTTCAGAGCTTCCAGGTGCCGTGAGGGTTTTTTGGCCTCGCTTGGAAGCAAATCTGAACATTCAGCTCTGGGCTCAGCTGTGGCTTAGTGCTCATTTCTGGGTCCTCTCCCTGGCATAGAGTCACCCCTGAACAGCAGCAGTTGTTGCTGTGATCAGCTGACTGACCAGTCCCTATCCCCTGCAGCCCTTTGGGGTCGTGGCTGTCCAGCTCGCGCGGCACAGAGGCGCCAGAGTCATCGCCACTGCGCTCAGCCTGGAGGACAAGCAGTGTCTGGAGCGGCTCAGGCCTCCCCTGGGTAGGTTTCCTCATCAGCAGTCATATTCACCCCCAGAAATACCTCACAACATTTCTTTTTGTCTAGTCTAGAGACTTGCTGCAGTGGCTGGAAACGGAAACGCAGATTTACAAACAGTCTAATAGTTTCAGATTTGTTCTGTACTTACAAGCGTTTCATTTCTGGTTTAGGTGTGTTTAGTGCCACTTGTGCTCTCCATTTCAGTTCTGTCAGTGCTTTCCTGCAATGCCTGAGCAAGGCTTGTGGCCTACCTGCTGCAGGAGTCTCTTCACTGCCTGGGAGGTTGGTGTGAACAAAGCAGTGTGGCTCCCCCAGCAGTGTGTGCTGCAGGTTCCCGAGCCAGTCAGGGGTGGCACCTCACAGCCACTGTGGCACCTCACAGCCACTGCTCAGCAAATTGCTCCTGTGTGGCAGCTCAGGGTCAGGTGCTGCCACACCTGAGGCTGCACAACCACAGCTCTGCATTTGCCTTGCATTCTTCCCTCATTTTTTCCACTTCTTCTCTTTCATACCTCAGTTTCTGGGTGCTTTTTTTTCCCCTGAAAGTAACTGTTCTACTTGGACTGTGGGAAAATACATCATGTAGGAGCTCCTGGCACTTCTCCTGATCAAACTAGTCCTTATTTCAGCATTGCACTGGGCAGGAAGATGGAATGTTTCTTTACCCAGACAGTTTTAAAGCACATGGCAGCAGTTGAGTGTCTCTCTTCAGCTGTCCTGCCACATCTGCAGCCAAAGCTCAGTGGGTTAGGGTGAGATCTGAGTCACAGGTGATGTCAGTGTCAGTTGGTCCTTCAGCTAGCCCACAGCTCTGAGTGCCATGTCCTGAGCTCCTTGGACACCTCCAGGGGTGGTGGATATAACCAGATTAAAACCTTGCTGGAGCCCTGAGGAAAGCCAAGTCGGTGCTTCAGCAGTGACTGGATTTATTGCCTGTTTCCATGTTTCCTTCTGCCTTGCACTGGGAAACAGAGCTAAACTCCTCATCTTGCTGGAGCTAACCAAGTGTTCTTCTCTTGCAGCTCGAGTCATCGACATGTCCCACGGGAAGATAGACGTGGCAGAGAGCTGCCTGGAGGAAACAGGAGGCCTGGGAGTGGATATTGTTCTGGATGCTGGAGGTACTCACTGAGGGAATCTGGAGGAGTCGTCAGGGGTTTACATTGCCATCTTCAAGGAACCTAATTGCCTATTCCTTTGCAATCCAATGTATTTAGCCTCATTCCATAGGTCTTGTGTCACCTTGGAGTGGAAACATCTGTTAGCTGCTAAATTTGGCTGAAATCTTCCTCTATTTACAGCTGAGGATGAAGAAGTTGTGTTTGAAGTGTGGTATCTCTGGTTTAACCCCATTTCAATCCCAGTGAGCCATAGCTGCCAGCACTGTCCACCAGTGCTCTGCACCAGCTCCAGAGACTCAGCACTCTCAGGTTACTGCTCAGAGTAATCTAAAGATACAAATCTAAGTATAATTTCAGAGTTCTCAACTCTTTTTAGTTGAAATAACTGAGGAACCTCTTAGGCTCCCACTGAAAGGTGTGGAAATAAACATAGATTAGTTTTCTGAGTTTTCTCCTGAGCTCAGATGAGTTTTTTTCTTCTTCCCCAGTGAAACTGTACAGTGCTGAGGATGAGTCAAGCTCCAAATCCCAAATGCTGCCCCACAAACATGACATCATCACTCTGCTGGGCGTCGGGGGCCACTGGGTGACCACAGAGAAACACCTGCAGGTACAGACAGTGGTGCACTCACTGCTCTGCACCACACAAGGTGCTTATGTATGTACAGAAATTGTCACCAAACACTTGACCAGTACAGGTTTCCTCAGCTGTAACAGTGGGCAAGGGCTGGGCTTGATTTTCCACCCGAAACAACCATTTGAGCAGCATTTTTGTACAGGAAAAGGTAACTAAATAACATTTCCCTGTGCTCCAGCTGGATCCTCCAGACAGCCATTCCTTGTTCCTGAAAGGAGCCACCGTGTCCTTCCTGAACGATGAGACGTGGAACTTGTCCAATGTGCAGCAAGGGAAGTACCTCTATATCCTTTCCATGAAATTCTGGCCCCCCGGGACATCTCCCACCAGCCCAGATTGCTCCAAGCCCCATCCAGCCTGGCCTGGAAGGTGTCTCCACAGGCTCCATGGCAGCAGTGCTGAAACACCCACTGTCGTGCCCAGAAATGCAGCACTTTGGTTCAAACTGGAACCAGTTAAGTGAAGGTTTTATTCTCTTAAGTTTTGCACTATGCAAGTGAGATTTTTGGTGGGGTTTATTGCTCTTTGGGCCTTAGGTGCATCATCTGTGAACCCTCATGCGCTCGGCTCAGTGGAAATAGTTTGGCCTCCTAAGCTTTCCTTTATTTGCAGTGGACAGAAATGTTGTGGACATAAGAGTTCTCACCCACATACAGAACTGGGCAATGCTGTCACCTCCTGGGGCACAGCAGTAACACCACGTTCCACACAGAGGCCTTGCAGGCTGAAAGGAAAGATAAGGTTTGGTTTCCTTAGTTTGGGGTTTTTTGTTGTTCTTCCCTTGTGACATTGCTGAGCACCTGGTACTGACACCAACTGCAGGAATCACAAGGTGATCGCTCCCAAGTGTCTAGAGCTTCAGATACCAACCAGATAGCTCTGGAAAGGAAGGATAAGCCTTGTTTTGTGAGTCCATGGGCAGAGCAGTTGCAGCCTCACCACGTGCTGCCATGGACTTCAGTCACTAACTCACCAACCCCTTGCAGCTGGCAGCTCCAGGAGTTCCCAGGCTCTGCTCTTCCCCAGCTTATCTTTCGTGGTCCGGATGAGCAGCTGGGACAGCTCCCTGGGCCAAAGCTCTGTCCTCTTCATCCTGCACGAGAAGGACTGTTGGTTAGGTGACTAATGGTTGGCTAATGTCACACTGGTGCAGGCTGAACTGTATTCCATATTGGAATGCTGAGTGTTGTCATATTGAAGTACTGAGTCTTCTCAGTCCATATTTCCTACTGAAGAACTGAATGTGCTCATGTTGGAATGACTGGAATATTCCACCTTTCTGCATCCTGTGTCAGGCAAGGAGGTTCCATGGACAGAGGAGTGCAGAAATGTGGTGTAAAAGTTGGGATTGGGGTTCCCTTCTCCCTCAGTCCTGGCAGGTCTGTGCCAGCACAAGGCTCTGGGCACCAAGTCTGAGTGCAAAGAGGTTTCTCTCCAACTCCGTTGCTCCTTGACAATCATCTTGGATACCCATCTTGGAAGACATCATGGAGAAGTTGTCCAGTGGTGTTTTCAGGTGAGAGAGGTGGGATCTTTGTGTTTAGTTTAAAACTGCTGAGAAGAACTTGCGGAGATCCAAAGGTTCCCACCACAAGGCTGGAAGATCCTTTCCCTCAGGGCAGGATAACTTGCTGCTGAGCAAAGCCCTCACTACACTCTCTTTTCCCCCTGTAGGGACATGTTTTTGTTACCTGTTTTAATTAACTCCTGCTTCCTGTGTACCTCAAGGCCTTTCCCTTCCTCCTGTGCACTGGTAAAAGCTGTGAAAGTTGGTTTTGTGTAAGGGCTGAGGTTGGCACAGTGAAAGTGAAGTCTCCTGTGCTGTTCCTGTCGATTCACCAGACGTTTGTGGCTTCTTGTGTCACTCCAGGCCTCAGCTGGATGAGCCAGTCCCATTGTATGAAGCCAAAGTGTCCATGGAAATGGTCCAGAAGAATCAAGCAAGAAAAAAACAAGTCATCCAGTTCTGACAGGCAATTTCCTCACTCCTCAGCCCTGGAAGGGAGAGAAATGGGAAGCATTTGCAGAGTAACTCAGTGCACACTCCCAAACCTTTCTGTAACCACCACTGAGTATCTCTGTACCTCAGCACAAATAATCTCTGAGCTCCTGGGTGGGTTTTTTGCTCCACTTGAGCAGCATGTTCCCCTCAGGAGCTCTGGAGGCCACCCAAGTGTTGCCTGCCCTGCCCCAGTTACAGTGTCACGACTGCAGGCACATGTTGCTTTCCAGCCGAAGGAATTAAAGGAAACAATGAAACCTGGTGGGTTTTGTTAGCCTGTCTTTCTCCAGCCCTTCCCAGGGGTCACCTGCACAAATGTGTTGCTCTGAGTGCCTCTCGCTGCCTTTGGAGCTCCAGGAGTTTGTGGTCATTTATTTTGCCTGCTGACCCACACCTACGACAGCCTGGTGCAACCAAAACTAGCTTGCTACCCCAAACAAGTGAAAAAATAGTTTACCCCAAATACACCTAAACTCTCGTTTTCTATCCCTGGGGGACTAAACCCTGTGTGTTTAGCATCACATCTCACACAGCTGGAACCACACTCCATTGTCTCCACAGGTGACTGTACATCCTGAGGGGATTTTGGTGCCCCCAACTGGTTTGTCCCATTGTCAGTAATTTATCTTTTTATTATTCTTTCCTTAGTGATTTTTTTTTTTACCCTCAGCAAGTTCA